TTAAGATATAAAGGAAGATATTTACAAATTGATCCCACAAATTCTATGAATTTATAAATCTACTACAAAAAATTTATATTCTTTATATAAATAGCCACAAAAGACAAGAAAATGACAAATAAAAATTGTAGTGAAATTGTGAGGGAAAATTTCTTATTTTATTATTCATGTCTTGTGGGTAATTGAAAGAATATTGATATAATAATAGTTTTTTATGCATACGTAGCCAGTCGGACTATTTATAAATCTCGCATCATCTTTAATCCATTTTTTAAACTCTCGCTCAAATAACAAAATTTATGATAAAATCCCACCCCATAATTTTCACTTTTATTATAATCTCAATGATTTGATCGTGACATACATTGATTTAGTCGTTAAAAAATATCAATTGAGAACTTGATTTTATAAATAGACAATTATTTTCGTAGCAACATTTTTACCAAAGGATAAGGTCGAATTCACTCTCCAACTTTAAAAAAAAAACATTCAAAAGTACCCATAAATTCGATTTGAACGAAATAAGTGGTTTGCTCAAGAATAAAATGGGGCTATGAAGGTAAAAAAAATCCTCCAATAAAAATACTATTTTTAGGGGGAATGCACCAAAAATAAAAGCACGAAACTCAAAGAGAACGACTAACCAAAATGAAAGAAATTCCTTTTGAGGGAAAAAAATTGCGTAGGTAAGAAGTACGCAACTCTGCGTACATAATAGATGTTATATGGTCATTATATCAACATGATATTCGTGTTATATCCCTTGTAACCTCCATGTAACCTCTATATAACCTACATGTAATCTATCTGAACTTACAAGTAAGTTCCGCGCTTCTGTATTCACATATCTGTAGTTTATATGTACGCTACATGAAAGTTATATGAAGGTTAGAAGGGATATAACGCGAATATAATGCCTATATAACCTCCATTATGTACGCAGCGCTGCGTACGTCTTACGTACACAAGTTTTTTCCCCTTTTGAGGTAAGCAATCAACTGATGATTCAAGGTCGAGCATGAAACTGAATCTCTAAACCTAAGATAGGTTCAAGATCTAGAGATGGTTCCTCGCTCAACAGCGACAAGTCCCGTTGAAAGTGAGTTGTAAATCATCCCGTAATGAGTTTCGTCGAATACCCCGAATAGGCTGCGACAAGATCTGTCTAAGACCTTGCAAGATTGGGAGATCCGACCGAGGCGACGAACCAACCAAGCAGGCGAGACGCTAGCCTTTTAGGACTCGAGCTGAATGGAAAATGAGTCACAACTAACTCAATGTAACAAGCCAACAAATCACTGTACCGAATGACCACCTCACAACTGACTACCCTTGTTGACTGTGACAAAATACACCTAACAAGAGCGTCATACGACCAAACTCCTTGACCAACCCACACATACTCTTTAGGGAACAGATGCCACTCGGTGGGTTGCCTCAATCGACTGACTTCAAGCTAGTCGAGCAATCAATTACGACAATGTTGAAATTCAAATTGTAATGCAAATATGTCAGAGAATTTATTCAACCAATTAAAGTCTTAAGGACATTAATAACGGTTTTGTAACTATTTCCTTCTTTCTGTAATCATAAAAAATATGTCTCTATAAGTATGGGGAAAAATACAAATAAATGGACATCTAAGTCTACTCTCTCTTTCTTCTCTCCTCCATTTAGGCTCTAACTCTCCGGACTTAATTCACAAAGGACAAATTAGGAATAAATGTGAATTGTTTTTATAATTTATGCATGAAAATGACCAATTGCTACGCTTAGAAGCGACCAAGAAATTGTGGGCCAAATTAAAGGCCCACCATTCACATTGGCTAGATCAAACAATGAGGTTGAAATTGACATATCTCAATATATTAGCAATGCCTATGTAGACCCTACGTGATGCTGTCCTTCTC